GGGGGGGTGCGCGCGCGTGCCCACACCTACCTTTCAATCTTATGAGCAGAATTATTCAACACATTTGAGAATATCTAGCATAATTTGTTTCTATACAGGTAAAATGCAAAAAGCAATGGGATATTCAAAGCATATGCAAAGTAGAGAATATGCCCAAATAAGACTTATGGAAGATGATTTGTAAATAGATTATCTATAATTCAGACAGGTCAGAAATCGCTCAAGGCAAAAATGACAGTAGACAATCTTGTCCATATGTGGCTTATGAGCCATTCTTCTGGAGTTCTTCCCTGATTATCATCAGACTGCCCTTTCTTGGTGTTAACTACCCATCCAAAATTAATGCTGAAAGAGGCAACGAATTTAGGGTCAAGAAGCAAAAGGGAGAAATCATACAAGGAAACAGAAGTAATAATTACTACTAGTTGAACAGTTTATCAGATTTGAATACCAGAACTGCCTAGGTCAGTCTTAAACGGAACAGGTCATTTTGTCTAACCTTACTCAAGTGATCATGAGGCGTCAAACTGACCTTGCAAGTAGGGCAAGATTTATAACCTGGAACCTTGGTCTCCATTACCTTCCTAAATGGCATTAGAGTAAAGGCAATACAAAAATTATTCTAAAAGTTCTGAAAAGCTAGCTCTCAAACACACGACTATAAGCACAAATACTAACAACTGCATGTGACTACAGACAGGAAAATGAAGAGAAAGTGATTACTGCTAGCACTTCCTTCCCAAGATCATTAATGGAAAGAAGAAAGTGAGAAGGTTCACCACACTTCACCCTTTATGCCTAGTTAGAAACTATAAGAACACACAGAATACAGAAGATATTTCATGCACAGTGCTAGTCAAAAGATTATGATCTTGGAACACAGAAACACAAGGAAAAGTAGCACGTATGGATAGGCAATAACTTCTCCCTCAGAAAATACTTTCAGTGGCAAGTTGTCACGATATCTCTATGAATAACAATTTTTAAAGTCTACAAAAGTATCAGAAGGAAGAGTAGAGTGAAAGAATTATTTTACCTTTTTGACAATCTTTCCACACAGTTTTTCGATTCTTCTCATAATGTTTATTCAACCAGGTGAGGATGGTTCGTTCATATGGAGAATATATATTACTGGATAAAGGTTCTGATTTTATTCTTGGCATGTTCTGCACGCTTTCCAAGCTGAACAGATCAGTGATATTACATGAAGAAACACGTGGAAGAACAAACACCTGAAATTAGAAAAAGTGTTTTTAAGCACGAACTGTAAAAAGAACAATTTCAAGTTGAATGATAAAAAAAAAAAACCCACAACTCAAAAGGTTTTCTAACTTAGAAAAGGTTTAAGAGATTACACATTAGCATAAATGTGTAACACACAAGAAAACAGATTTGCTGAGGTTTTAGGGAATTCCTTTGCTTCCTTAAACAAAATGCAAATTGAAGCTTCCAAATGGTCTTGGGAGTCTGGAGAAGTCCCAGTCGACTGGAAGCTGGCAAATGTCCCAATTTTCAAGAAAGGTAAGAAGGAAGACCCTGGTAATTACAGTCCTGTCAGTCTCACTTCAGTGCCTGGTAAAATTATGGAGAAAGTTATTTTGGGAGTTACTGAAAAACACTTCAGAGACAATGCAGTCATTGGTCATAGCCAGCACGGGTTCACGACTGGAAAGTCCTGCTTAACCAACTTAATTTCCTTTCATGACAAGGTCACCCTTCTAGTTGACCAAGGGAAGCCAGTAGATGTGGTGTTTTGGGATTTTAGCAAAGCTTCTGATGCTGTCTCTCACAGTATTCTTCTGGACAAGATGTCCAGCACACAGCTAGACAAGTCCATAATATGATGGGTGAACGATTGGCTGACGGGTTGGGCTCAAAGAGTTATAGTAAACAGGGTTACATCAGGCTGGTGGCCAGACACCAGTGGGGTTCCCCAAGGCTCAATTTTCGGGCCAGTGCTCTTTAAAGTCTGTATAAATGATCTGGATGCAGGAATCAAATGTACATTAAGTAAGTTTGCTGATGATACTAAACTAGGAGGAGCTGTGGACTCCCTCAAGGGTAGAGAGGCATTACAGAGAGATCTGGATAGACTAGAGAGCTGGGCAATGACCAACCGTGTGAAATTTAACACAAGCAAGTGCCAGATTCTGCATCTGGGACAGTGTAATCCTACTTATACATACAAATTGGGGGACAAGAGGCTGGAGAGGCAGCCCCACGGAAAGAAATCTGGGAGTTTGGGTTGATGGCAAGTTGACTATGAGTCAACAATATGCCCTGGCAGCCAAAAGGGCCAAACATGTCCTGGGGTGCATCAAGCACAGCATAGCTAGCTGGTCGAGGGAAGTGATTGTCCCACTCTACACTGCACTGGTGCGGCCCCACCTCGAGTACTGTGTGCAGTTTTGGATGCCTCAGTGGAAGAAGGACATCAAACTATTAGAGTGTGTCCAGAGAAAGGCAACCAAGATGGTGAAAGGCCTTGAGGGCAAGACTTATGAGGAGCAGCTGAGGTAACTCAGTTTGTTCAGCTTGGAGAAGAGAAGGCTGAGGGGTGACCTCATTGCAGTCTACAACTTCCTCAAGGTGGGCACCAAAGGGGGAGGTGCTGATCTCCTCTCTCTGGTGACCAGCGATAGGACACGAGGAAATGGAATGAAGCTGCGTCAGGGGAAGTTCAGATTGGACATTAGGAAAAGATTCTTCGCTGACAGAGTGGTCAGTCACTGGAACAGGCTCCCCAGGGAAGTGGCCATGGCACCAAGCCTATCAGAGTTCAAGGAGCATCTGGACGATGCTCTTAGTTACATGGTTTAGTTTTAGGTAGTCCTGTGAGGAGCAGGGAGTTGGACTCGATGATCCTTATGGGTTCTTTCCAACTTGAGATATTCTGTGATTCTAAATATTTTTTGTTTCCAACTTTTTTCCAAGATTTGATGAACTGGATGAAATCACTAGACCCATCTGGATTCCAAGAATTACTGTGTATATTCTAGCCAAAGCACTAATTGCTGAACTACTATACTGATCTCCAGTGCAATCTATAGACAATCTTGAAATGGTATCTTTCATGACGCAGGTGCTCATTTAGGTCCAAATTACACTGACTGTTTCTCCTGAAAAAATAAATGTTATAATGCCTACAATAAAATCCTTGGTACTCAGAGGTCCTTGATTAAGTCTTGCATGAACATGCATTTAAAATATATATTTATAAACATATGTATATAAGATATATAAGAAATATAAAGATGTTAAAAGTAAAAATTCTACACAATACCTTTGATTTTTCTTTTCCCCCAGCTAAAATGGCATCAGAGAAAAAGGTATTTGAAGGAGGAACACAGAACTTGATTTTCAGGATGATGATGTGTCATGGTTTAACCTGAGTCAGCCAGCAACTGAGCACCACAGAGCCGCTCGCTCACTCCCCCCTCCCCAGTGGGATGGGGGAAAGAATCGGAAAAGTAAAAGTAAGAAAACTTGTGGGTTGAGATAAAAACAGTTTAATAATTGAAATAAAGTAAAATAGTAATAGTAATAACAACAACAGAATATACAAAGCAAGTGATGCACAATGCAATTGCTCACCACCTGCTGACTGAGGCCCAGTCAGTCCCTGAGCAGCAGCCCCTTGGCCAGCTTTTCCCTAGTTTATATACTGAGCATGACATCACATGGTATAGAATAGCCCTTGGGCCAGTTTGGGTCAGCTGTCCTGGCTGTGCCCCCTCCCAGCTTCTTGTGCACCTCCAGCCTCCTCACTTGGTAGAGCATGAGAAGCTAAAAAGTCCTTGGGTAGTGTAAGTACTACTTAGCAACAACTAAAACATCGGTGTGTTATCAACATTATTCTCACAGTAAATCCAAAACACAGCACTGTACCAGCTACTAGGAAGAAAATTAACTCTATCCCAGTCAAAACCAGGACATAATGAAGTCAACAGCCTTGGTTCCATCCTCCCTCATCAAACAGGTCTCAGGCCTGGCCACCCTGACCAGTGACTAAGACTATCAAGGACCATGGTCATAAATGCTAACTGCACTGCATCAGCTCCAGTGTCATGTATTCACAGATAATTTAGGATGAGTTTGTTAAGGACTAATTGTTTGGAGGAGGAAAAAAAGAAAAGGAGGAGGGGAAAAAAAAAAAAGACGACTAACAACTAATCATTGACAATGTCTATTGACAATGAATGCCAATCCAGTAAAATGTTATTCTGAAGTGTGAATCAGGCCCAGTTTCTCAGTCCCTTAAACACCCCCAGTGATGTCTAATTCCCTGATACATATATACATAAAGATAAGGCTATTCCATTTCATCTAATCAGAATGAAAACAGCTTGCACCTTTTATAATTGTTTCTCTTCATATTAGTTTCCAATACCAGATTTCAACAGGTACAGTAGAGAAAGCATTGGTTTCCTGAGGCAAGGTGTTAAAGCTTTTTAATCCCTCCATTTGCTGCAGATGAAGAGGAATGCTCTTACATATAGTATGATGCAGCTACAGCCATGTGGCCTCACAGTTTCCACATTTACATATAGATTTATTTTTTTTTCTTCCAGATGACGTGAAGGACTGTCATCCATTGCTTTCAAGTTTTTCTGAAGAAAACCTTTTCTAATATACTAATATACAAAACCTAGTTAACTATTAATGTACACGAGACCCAAATTATAGCATCCATATTTAACTACAATAAAAAAAAATTGAGTCGCTTTGAAATTCCTTTTTAAACCCTGAAGCATTTCAGTTGAGCACCATCTAGTTCCATGCAGAGATGGCTGAGCTAACTTAAATATTTGGATTTCTCTCCATGGCACTTTACTGATTTGCATAGAACTATCTTAAGAGAAAAAGAAATCTCAAACTTTTACATTAGCATCCTCAGATACAAATCTGAAGAAAACAACAGCAAAGAAACCAAGCAAATATATACTATTTCATGCTTTCTCAAAAGGCAGTGTCTTTGCAGGTTAATTTATTGCAATGTTCCTTCATCAGCATAACCTGATGTTCTATCAAAAGGACCAAAACAGTAAAGAGTAATGGCAACTACATTTAGAAGAAAATATGAAACATTATTTACCCATAAAACATTCTTTTACTGTCTTTTAACAAGTTCAATCCATCCTAATCCAAGATGCCCACATGTCTACATTCCTATTGAGGCCCTGTTGAGGGACCAGGACATTAGCATACAGTGGCTTTTTGGAGAACACTATATTTATAAAAAACAATCAGCTATAAGGTTAGGAAATGTTATTACTTATAACTATAAAAAGCATCCTTATTACTACATGCTCATTAAATTTAAAGATAAATTGCCTTTATTGAAAATCTGGCCTGACCCAAGGGCTAAATTACCACTTCTGCTGTCAGTGTCCATGTGTTTCCATTAGCCTAGACTTTCAAAATTTGTAGAACACCATCAGTATTTTAGCCCTTGCTCAAAAAGAGAACTAAAAGTATATCTTTATGATTGATAAATTTCCCCTTTCATTCTCCACAGGTTCTACCCTTTCATCAGAATAAACTCATTTTCTATTTTTCTCAGCTGCATATATGTATACGTTTTTTTCCTCTGGAACTTCTGCAGCAACAGAAGTTTTCATAACAAGTAAGTGGACCATAATGCACCAGGTATGGGCATGAAAGCAATATGGGATGACACTTTAGTTGATAAAGAATAATATTAAGTCTTTCTAATAACAGCATTTTATTTCTAAAATAAAATTGGATAACAAAACATCTCTGGTGAATAGATGAATTCTTTTAACATCTTCTGAAATTTGCAGCATGCTATGTGAGTAAGAAAGGTTTCTGTTTCATCTTGTCTTGCTTGAAATCAGGCTATCGTAATCACAGAAAGGCTTCTCTCTACTTTCATTTTAATGAAACTGCTGTTAAGATATGAAACATTCCCTTAACTTCAGAATATTTCAACACTAGACCAAATAAATATTTTTTTATATAAACCAATCTTGCTGTCTTGACAGTTCATATCCTCTTTTTCTTTATTGTTCTGATGCTTTCTTTACAAATTTAATAAAATAAATAAACTTTGTTCAGCAGCAGTCACGATCACCCTTGTCAAAAACAGGTTTGAACAAAACAGTATGGAAGAGAGAACAAGACTTTGAACCTTAAGTGACTAGTTCCAATGTAAAGTTATGTTATCTTAAGAGTTCTGCTTATGCTTTATTATATTAAATTGAATACCATGTTAGCCAAACTGCATAAAGCTACAACAAAAAAGTAAAGCAGAAACATGTAATTCCTAAAACATTAGCAGGAGAGACAGAGAAGATGAATGTGATATTATAAGGCTGTAAAAATGTACTATTATAGGATACAAAGATGAAGGAACAATGAATGAGAAGCTGAAACATGCTTCTCATGCATGAAACAGAACTAGAATGATGAAGAGCGCATCTTCACAATAGGTTTAACCTGATCTAAACCTAAAATTTCATATCCCCAGCAACCGTGTGTTCTGTCCCTTTCTTGTGTCTACATCAATGGTCAGAGAGATGAAAGATCTATTTGGAAGCAACACCCTACTCCACTAGTTCTAGCATAAGGAAAAGGGCAGAAAAGTGTAGCCAGGAAAACCTGGTTTTCCCCAACATCTCAGACATGTTCTTTCAGTAGTAGCCCGCACCTACATTAGTGTAAATTCATAATGATGCTTTGCTCTCAGATATTGGAAAGGCTAGAAAGTTTATTTTAAAAGATTGCACAATAAAAAAAAAAACAAACTTAATGATACACTACAGATATTATCATATTAAAAATTATTATTTTTGGTTTGAAGATGTCTTTAAACTGTTACTGTAAGAAGTACTAGATATTTTCTGAAGTGGCAAATTGCAATTATTAATAATTTGATCAAAACTGAAGCTAACTTCTATTTTACCTAGACATCATAGAATCATAGAATAATTTGGGTTGGAAGGGACCTCTAAAGGTCATCTAGTCCAACCCCCT